GGAGTAGCATTGCTGAAGTAAGTGAAAGATAGCCCCGGAGTTACTTCTGTAGTTTATCGCTTTTATTTAATGGTTCCTTGCTCTGATCGTGTAACATCGGGTTGGGATAAACGCTTGATTTGATTTTTGTATTATTGTTGTCGAAGTTACAAACTTTTCGTGTTGTTGAGATTTTTAAGTTGTTTTGAGTTGATTGTCATACTCTTTCGATTATGCTATTAAGTTAAAATTCATGAGACTTAATGTCTTGAGTTATAATACTATTGTTGTATGTTTATTAGTAGTTTCGATGTGATGACACCGTAAATTCTTGGATGAGCATGTGAGGACAGGTACTGAATGCCTTATTGTATAAGTACTTGACATAAATCAGATGTGTTGGCTGTCGTGTAACATCACAAATAAAAATCAGATGTGTTGGATGTCGTGTAACATCCCAGGTATAAATATGTGCATTTGAATTTATTTTGGTGGTAACCCGTGTTACGGAGCAGGTTATGTGTTTTGATGTGTGTGTGACACCCCTGTGGTTATGTTTTCTAATTATAATATTTGATTATTGTTTTGGGGTATAGAAAGGTGTTACACCCACCATGACACCATCCATAATATTCATTCCTGAAATAAAAGCATATTGGTTTATGGATATTATAACCTTCCAACCACTTTCCTCAACCTAAGAGCCAACATCTTGGAAAGAATCTTGTAGAGGCACCCCACCAAGAAAATGTCTAAAATCAAATAAGGCTTGAGGATTATTAATTTTAGGAATAAGAACAATGAAAGAGGCAGTACAAACTTTAGATAACTTAGCCTTAGAACTAAAGTCTTCAATGAACCTAAACGCATATTATTTGACCACCTCTCAATTGTTCTCTAGAAACTCAAAACTAAAGCCATGTGGATTTGGGTTTTTTCTATCATCATAACTCCACATCGCTTATTTGATTTCCTTCTCCAAGAAAGATTCTTTAAGCATAAGCCTATTAGAACTTGACAAGGAAGCAAACTCTAAACCCTCAAGAGTAGGTTTGAGCCCACCATTTTCTTTAAAATAATTCTCAAAATGACTTTTCACTTCATCTTTGACCTTGTTCACACCTTCTACTCTACCAAAATGATTGTTAGCAAATTTATATTATTCATTCTCACTCTTTCTTTCATCACTTTATAAAAAAATTTGGAATTTTGATCACCATTCTTGAGCCAGAATTGTTTAGATTTTGTCTAAGGGTTTTTCTCTTTTAAATCCAAATCTCTTAAGAGAGTAGAGTTATGTCCTCCACCAATCTAGTTATAGACTCTCCATTACAAGAGGAAAGCAAATTATCAAGATCATGCATCTCCTCAAGTGCATCCTCCACTTTTAGATCTATACAGTCAAACACATTTCTATTCCTCCACTTCAATTTACTATTCAATTTGTTTAAATTTTCTTTAAGAACAAAATCACCCATCCCTATCACTTCAAAACTTTTTCGCTCATCTTCAATGAATTTAGTACAGCTTTTATGATCAAGATAACAATTGTTGAACCTAAAAGGTTTTGGACCCCAATCTTAACCGTTGGCTTTCAACCAAATAGAGAAATGGTCTGGGATATCCCTTTGACCCACCACCTCACCATCAATTTTCATATTAAAGACCAAGTTTTCTTACAGCAAAAACTTATCTAATATACGCATAGCATTCCCACCTCTGTTAAACTAGGTGAATCTAATTCCACATCAAGGGGCATCTACTAGATCCATCTCCTCGATATTCCTAAAGGCCTCAATTTTTCCAACCCTGCTTCTCCCTCCCCCCCCCCCCCCCCAATCCCAAACCCAATCGTCTCCTCCTTATAACTAACATCATTAAAATCTCCCCACAAGCACCACTCACCTCCACTACTGCTTCTTTTCACTTCAAGCAACTCTCTTCACAAGTTTCTTTTTTTCACAAAACAGCAAGGAGCATAAATATTTACAAAGTAGTATTTTGTTCCTTTCCACAAGCCATTAAAACCAATATATCTCTCCCCTTTAAAACTGAAACACATATCTAATAAATCTTTCTTCCACGAAATTGAAATCTCGCCTGCAACCCCTCTAGAGCCAATAAAAGAACATTCCGCCTTCTCATTGCCCCCACAGATTGAAAGATAAAGAAATCTCAATACAACCTAATTTAAATTCTTGAAGAAAGCAAAGATCGACCTTAGTCGATTGATTCAAAAAGCTAATCCTCTTCCTTTTGATATTGTTTCCTCTGCCTCTGATGTTGTAGGATAGGATATTCATTTTACTGGGCAAGAACTCTCCGCCTTGCTAGACTTTCCTTCTTTATCTCTTACATCAATAATTTTGATTGTGTCCTCGTAAGCCTCCCTAGACTCTGAACCGGTGACTCCTAATTTGGACATTGTATCTCATACCTTTCTAGCTAACTTAGAATCCATGTTCTCTAATATTTTCTTGTTGCAATGAATAAATTCTGAATCGCTCGAGGAGACATAATTCGAAAACTTCCTCCAAAAAAGTGGTCCTCCTGAATCCCGATTGCCCATTGCACTTTTAGAAATAATTGGCTTTGACTGATAATTAACATTTTTCTTGTTATGCGAAAGCTTCTTTGACTCATTCTTATTTAGGGATTTTATTGGAGTTAGGTTGAAGCAATGCAAAATATGATGGTTGGAACTCCAGGTGGCTAAAATCAAGTAAATCACTTCGAGCCTTTTTTTCTCTCCTCTTGCGTTTGGGGTTCTTATTTTTCACCTTCAAACATTCCTCTTCAAAGCTTATTTGGCCTTAACCTCCTAAGCCCTTACCAATAGGCTCAGACTGAGAATTAAGTTCATCACCCTTCCTCTCTCTGGGCCCATTAGTAGGATCAATACAGTCATTTGACTTTAAAAAAGTCTCTGAACATTTTTGCATGACGGTTGATGTGACTCGATATTGTTAACATCAAAATCATCTGCCACCTTTTACCTTTAGAAATTTGAATTTGGTTTTCTAGTGAAAAGGAGTTCTGCTTTAAGCATTCCTTGTCAGAGTATTGAAACACATTTTTCTCAATATTCTCTTGACAAGTAACATCAATGTCACGTCCTCGAAATCCACCTTCCTTGACACTCCTCGAAGATCATACTTCTGGTGAAACACCTTATCCCTAATATCCTCTAGACAAGTAACATCAATGTCACATCCTCGAAATTCCTCAATACCATCTAAGGAGGAAACCCTTACAAAAGAGCTAACAATGCAAGTAGTTTTGTGCTTGCATGTGTGTAACCCCTATATCCATACATGCATCCATAGTGAAAAAATATATCCATTTACTTTAAATTTAAAAATAAAAACAAAAAGTGTTTGATTGCCTAGTTACATTGATTAGGGTTGTTCATAGTATGGTTTGGATCGTTTTGAGGTAAAATTTATTTGATCTAAAGATAAATTTACTCGCAGTTCGGTTCAAGTTTAGTTGATGATTAAAAATTTTGATTCAATTTTATGTGATTTAATTTAGATCGGTTTAGAGATATCCAAATTATTATTTACAATTTTATTAAGATTATAAAAATACTAATCAATAATAAATTTGCTATAATATATTACAGATATTATATTAAAAATTAATATTATAAAATAAAAATGATCAATTATGATTGAAACAAATGAAATAATAAAAATAAATAGAATAAACCAAAAGTGATAAATTGTATTAAAAAACAAATACTACAATAAGTATAAAAAGTAATATTTCACACTTGTTATAAAAATTACATTTGTGTCTTTTTGAAGTATATATTATAAAAGTTATAAAAATAGTTTTCATTAGTTATTGTTTATGAAAAAATAAGAGAGAATTCAAATTAAATTAATTTGTATTTAATTTTATCTTGAAAAAGATGCTTATATAAAATAAAATTGTTTTTTACTTATAGTTAATTACAAGAAAAGTGTTTTTTCTTATAAACCATTATGGGAGTATCATCCAATAATAAATTAGCACAATATATCATATTAAAAAAAAATAATAACTATAAAAATATATACACTAAATTCGGTTCAAATCAATTTTTAAAAATCAATCTTAAATCCTATCCAACCCGAGTGGTGTTTAGAAAATAAAATTCAAATACATCCAATAATATTAAATCAATTTTTATTTGAATTGGTTTGAATTTAAAGACTAATATTTATATTTACATGTAAACTGTTCTAAAATAAAAATTAAGATTTTCATGTTGAAAATAAAACAGCTATTTTAAATGGAGTGAAACAAGATGCAATGGGATAAAGTGAAACAAGATGCAATGGGATAAAGTGAAACAAGATGCAAGCCCAATGATTATAAAAAAATGTAAGTAAACACCAATAATAACATTTTTTACTTCAACAAGTAGACACGAACAAGTGATTCATCTAAACGACACTTTCTATTTTACCTAGATAATTAGCTTAACTGATAATTTTAGAGGTAATTTGATCTTGTGGACGCGACTGTTGCACAAACTAAAAATCCTCACCAAGTTCTACAAGAACAAGTACAATCCAAACATAATCTTTGGTGAGGAAAAAAATCTCACCATGTTCTACAAGAACAAGTAAAATGTCACCATGCGGATTGGTTGAGATGTGACTCATACTACATTTTAACTTATCTTAAGCAATTAGTACACCAAAATGCTAATACTACATAAAATTAACAAGTACATGTGTTGGTTGCAATGCCACCCAGCAGACACAGGTTCTGTAAACTGATGTTCTATGGGAGGGGAGACTTTCTATCAAAAGCCAAAATTCAAAATAATTGCAACTAGTATTGAATAACCATTATAACATCATGTCCAATAAAAACTAACAAAATTAAAATATCTTAACAAATCACAGTACAGAAATTCAAAAGCAAACCAAAATTAACAAAATTGATAAGAACTTCACCATACAGAAATTGGGAATTACTTTCAACATAGATGATAAGATCTTTATACTAAGAGTGCCAACCAAATCTCACATGCCTGAAAATGCCTTCTTTGCACCACTAGATGACCCAGCTGGGATCACTTTCAACACATTGAACCTCACTGTCTTGGAGAGTGGCCTATAGAAGTGGCACAAGTAAAGGCAACTTAGTCAGACATATGTAGTGATATCTAGATAATAATATACTAAAATAAAAGTATCTTTGGGTTAATACAGAAATGATGGAATTCTGCTAGAGTTTCACCTGCATTGACCAATAATGACATGATCGCCTTCCTTAACACGGAAGGCAGGTGAGACATGAGCTGGAATGTTTGAATGCCTCTTCTCATACCTAAGAGCACGTAAGGAAAAAGGAATTTCAAATTATGTTTATCCAAGCATGCAAATTAAAAATGGAGTATATTATTAAAGGAGAATACCTCTGATATTTCTTAATGAAGTGAAGATAATTCCTCCTGACAATAATAGTCCGATTCATTTTGGCACTGTGACAGGTTCCGGCTATGATACGACCCCGGATGGAAACATTGCCAGTGAATGGACACTTCTTGTCAATAAAGGTTCCTGTATTTGAAATTCAAAGGTCATTTCTGTATTAGAAGCAGAAATAAAATAACCATACAATCTTACGAGATATTAAGAATAGTCTGCCTCTAGCTAATAGTATTGCGATAAGTAGCCGGAGTTAAGACCATTATTCTGATTGCAAATAACAAGTATTTCAAAGTAACACTTGCATGAAGCAAGATAGAAGCATTTACATTTGCCCCCACATATATAGGCCAATTCTTTCAAAATGGATACCAAAACCATTTATTAAAAAGCAACTGCTAATAACATAAAATATTGAGGATTTATAAGCACATCATAGAGATCTCTATACTTCCAATAGTAATCCAATACCAACATGGATAAGATAAATATAGAGATGTAATTAAGCATCCACTATCTTTCTCTAGTTTTGATTTGCATTAATTCACTATCAAGATGTGTGCATTCAAAACCTAACATAAACACACTACCGCAATCACTCCATATAATAATTTTCAAAACACAATAAAATAAAACTATCACCGCATAAAGTAAAAAAATATATATACAAACACTGAGATAGAGATAGAGAGAGAGGAACCTTCAATGGCTTCTTTGGGAGTCTTGAATCCAAGACCAACGGATTTCCAGAAGCGATTTCCACCTTTTCCAGGCCTCTTCCCCTTGCCAGATTTCTTCGAGCTACGAAAATAAGCAAAAGCAACAACCGAATATGAATCAACAAACACCACAATTATGAACAAACAAAACATACGTTGAGATTTGAAGTACTGAACATACCATAAAAACACTTTGGGTTGCTTGAGATACGCCTTCTCTGTCTGTAAAACAGAGATTAAAAAATATATGTGAATGCAGAATCGAATGATAGGTGAATGGAAAAACGAAGTAACGGGAACTTACTTGTTCAGCCATGGTGGAATTGCAGAGGGTTTTGGTGAAGCCGCACGCAGACTCAGAAACCTTCTCACTCTGATTTTTGGGAGAGAATACGAAACCCTAATTATATGTCTACCCGATCAGATGGGCTTAATTAGCCTTAGCCCAAAATATGAAAACCCAACCTTCACATACGCTCTTCCTCGTTAAATAAATTTTAAATAAAATAAAATAAAATAAAAAACAGCCATAGGCATAATTTGAACCAAATAAAGTGTTGTGACTTTAAAAAAATATTTGTTTATTAAAATTTAATTTGTAAACATCAATAGTGTAAATATTTTGATACATATTATTAAATCAAATCATAATACAAATATTTGGGGAGATATTTTATGAATTAATTTATAGAAATAATATTATGTATAATTTAATTTTATAAAGGTATATTAGATTTTTGGGTGCGCTTGGTGGGTCATGGATTGCATGATCTAACCCATAGTGCATTATAGGACGGGTTGTCCAGCCTATTTTTGTATTCATTAGTGAAAAATTAAATTATTACGTATCAAATTGTGTGTCTCTGATATTTAGAATATTTATCTGCTCATTCCTACTAAACGGAAAAACCATTATCCATAGCCTTGCGGTCTAGTCAAACAGTTTGAGAGAAGTGCTTCTTCGCCTAACACATTGGCTTACGAGTTAGATCTATTAACATCTAAACTCGTAGGGTTGAGAGATTGTTCATTTTTCACATATTCGACATACTTATATCCTTTGTGATCGTCCTTGTAAGTAGGATCATTTTCATTGTAATTTTTGTAAGTATAATTGGTGTTCACTGTGGGACTCGATAATATTAACATAGGGCACACTTACATCCAACTTTCACCCGTCTCAGTCATCTTCCTCAATAGAAATGGCAATGGGTAGGATTTTGGTAAGGTACTATAGTACATGTCCTCATACCCGTATGGGCATACCCGTGTCGGCACCAACCTTTATATCTATTGTCATTCCATCCAAGTTTCACATGAGAATGTCTTAACCCTCCAAGAGTGGCACCACGAAGACAGACCAGTTAAATATGAGGTCTTGGAACCCCAGCCTCTCCGGCGAGATTTGAGTTGCTCTAATACTAAAAAAACTTCAAACCACCATCATTGGTGAAGTTTTATGGAAAAAGAGACCATCATGAACACATATTTGCCATCAATACTCATATGGCAATAACATGTGCCTCATAATTCTTTAAGTGCACACTCTTGTTCAACATTTTCAAGGAGGTAACCCACTAGTGATTCATGAACCTCGTATGTTTTTCAATGACTAGTTATCAAGTCTTCTCAAGGAAAGTGGTCCATAAATATTTGGTGAGTAAACTCATAAAAGTTTCAACAATCAGTATATTCAATATGCGCAAATAGCGTGTTCAGTCACTAAAGGAGTGCCTCGTCTGGTCCAATGAGACGACTATCAAAGTATTGCATCAAAATCAAGAGATGTTTGTATAAGCATTTTTAAAATGGCTTGGGGTCGAACATTTTAACGAGTCTTTCGAATAAAAGTCCATCACTTCCATGGCTGAAATCATGGAACATGTTGAATTCTATCAAATAGTAAGAGATCAACAAATAGAAAAATGTCATGGATGTTAAAGAGTGAACCTCTGACGAATCCAATTCATCGCAAAAACTATTATACCTTATTTCGTGAAAGATATGGCGACTTTTAGACGTAGTGGGATGCCAACATCTAACTTCAAACCCTAAACACTCGTCGAGAGCAAATTTAACGTTAACTTTTTTGTTGTTTAATCTAGGTGAATTATGAGTCTTTTTATTCTCCTAGATTGGGATTTAGAGATTTTAAAGCTTTTAATATATCCATGGTTGCTAAATAAGGTTGGAATCTTTTGTCTAAGCCTCATGCTCTTGTCTCTAGAATCTTCAAAACAAGGTACTTCCCTAGAACATCTTATTTTGAATCTAATCTCGGTCATAACCCTAGTTTTGTGTGGAGGAGTATTTGGAAAGAAAAGGATGTCTTATCTTTAGGTTGCAGGTGAAGCATTGGAAATGGTAGTCAAATCTAGGTTATGCAAGAGTCTTGGATCAGGGGGAAGAGGGAAGGGTGTTTAAGTAGCCCCCAGAAGCAAAGTTTGTATGATATTACAGTTAAAAATCTTATTATGCCTAATGAGAAGCAATGGAATTTGAGGATGATTAGGGAAGTGTTTAATTGTGCAGAGGTGGAGGAAATCTAACGGGTCCCCCTTTTGAATGAGGTTAAGGATGATAGGATGATTTGAAAGGAAGAACAAAATGGGTCATACAGTGTGAGTTCTGGGTACATGTTATGGAGGAGCTTACGGAGGAGAAATGAGGAATGGGGTGGGAACGAGGATTGGAATAGTCTTTGGAATATTAAAGCCCCTCATAGGGTTAAACATCTATTGTGGAGAATCTGTAAGGAATGTTTACCAACTTGATAACGCGAAATCGTATATATATATTGACGCATAATTCAACTAATGTTTGACTGGTTTCAATCCGATTTCGGGTTTTTTTCCATGTTATTTGTCTGATATTTTGCAGGTATTTGAAGATCATGTCTAAACGAAGCAATATGAAGAAAAGAAGCAATTACATATAAAATATGGACGAAAACCAGATGAAAACAACATGAAAAACACAGAATGCGCATTTTGCTGCTATGACGACCGTCACACCTCCATGACGACCGTCACACGGGTGACGACCGTCATGCAGGCAAAAACGCATAGCTTCAATTGAACGTGCAAATACCAGTTCCAAGTCCCAAATAATGGACCACTACTCCCTAATTTTTCTGCCTCCAAGTCCACCTTCTTCAAATTACGACAGTTAGAATTTTACCTCTATAAAAGGGGAAGGAGGGGAGCTGAGAAGGGGAGCCGCATTCAGATAACAAAGTGCTGCCCAAATTATTTTCCAGAGCAAAAATTTAGTTTCATTCTTGTTGTTTTTGTTTCCTTTCCTTATTCTTGTATTCCATTTCTATAATATTCATTTGTGCGCTCTATTGGTTTGAAGACATAATCCTGCCGACATCGTTGGGATTTGGCCAAAAGCCAATTGGATACGTTACAGGTTTTTTTCATTATTTCGTTAATTGTAACTTTAATTCCCAGTAATATGAACGTTCTAAGTTTCTGCTTTTATTTATGTTTTACATTTCCCAAATCCATGTCTAGCTAAACCAGAGTAATCGATATGTAATAATAATTCAGACGGGATTTGATAATAACCGATTAAAACTTTCCTTTTCAAAAGTTGTTTATGGCCTGAGTGTTTAAACTTATTTCCTGAATAAACGTTCGTCGCGACAGCGAGAACTTATTTAAAAGTAGTTTTGCCACGACAGTGGGAAATTAACTAAGGTACGAACCAACAAGCGACAGCTGCGGCTAGGACCAGATAGTAAACACTAGGCATTTGTTTTAATAACAGCGAAAACACTTTAAAATAGATTAGAACTTAGAGATTTCCAAAAAGCGATTTTAACCCCGAACTACGTTCCGCCTTAGAGTTGTGACTAGCGTCAACAACCATCGTGAGACGAAGGTCTTTAGATCACTATTTTTCTTCTTAAATAAATCCTAAAAAATATTTTATATACCGGTAACTTGTCAAATCCCCGAAGAACATAATTATTGCATATCGATTCGCGTAATTATAATTCAAGTAACGTTTTTAGTTCCCTTTAGTGATAGAAATTATTCCCTTAAACATTATCTACCTAGCTAAACATAGTAACTCCCGAGAACACTAGTTTGATTACGAGTCCTTGTGGGATCGATATCTTTTATTACTACGCGATAGACTATGCACTTGCAGTTAAGTTGTATTAGATATAGAAAGTCGCGATCAATTTTTTGGCGTCGTTGTTGGGGACCCGTTTAGTCAATAGTGTAACCTTCTGTTACACCGTATATACTAGGTTAACAATTTTATTTTCCCTTTACTGGTTCTGTCGATTGTATGCTAAGTAACCGCCCACAAGGCGATATCTTAAAACCCTCAGTCGCAGAACTAGAGCGCTTTTTACATTTAAGAAGTCGCATCATTGAGTACCAACAAAAATATAACATTCCCGATCCTCTCACTCACATTCCCAAATCCGAAGAAGAATCAAAGATGGCTGAAGGACCTCAAAACAAACTGCTGAAGGCATACGCTACACCCTCTCAGATGGAGCCTAGAAGTAGCATTGTTGCCCCAGCTATTACTCGAAACGATTTTGAGCTAAAACCGTCATTGTTGTCAGCTGTACAACAAAACCAATTCTCAGGAAATGCAACTGAGGATCCGAACGAACATTTAACGAAGTTTGTACAATACGCAGACACAGTGAAAACAAACGAAGTAACTCCAGACGCAATAAGACTTCGTCTTTTCCCTTTCTCTCTTAGAGACAGAGCGTGGACATGGTTACAATCCTTACCATCCAACTCCGTTACGACGTGGGAACAATTGAAGAACGTCTTCTTAGCAAGATATTTTCCGCCAAGCAAAACTGCTATGCTTAGAGCTCAAATCAACGGATTTCGACAAAAAGATACTGAATCTCTTTACGAAGCATGGGAACGATTCAAAGATATGATAAGAACATGTCCTCACCACGGTCTAGAAGACTGGGTGACGATCCATACTTTCTATAATGGGCTTTTATACAACACCAGATTAATGGTAGACGCCGCCGCGGGCGGTGCACTTATGGATAAGCCATACGACGAAGCCTATCAACTAATCGAAAACATGTCTCAGAACCACTGCCAATGAGGAGGTGAACGCATTCCAACAGAGAAACCCGCAGCGAAAGGTGGGATGTACGAGATCAGCAGCCTTGAAAAGTTCAACGCTAAAGTAGATGCTCTAGCACAGAAAATTGACAGTCTGACTGTTAACCCCACTGCAATCATCGCTGCCGTAACTCCAAACTGCGAGTTATGCGAAATCGCCACTCATAATGCGCCCGAATGCCCATTGCTG